AAGACGATGAGTTTGTGTGTCAGATTGTCTACGTCTTCTACCAGATGGTTTTTCACCAGGCCACACGAGACGTCATCATCAAAGACACCCGTATCCTTCACACACTGGCAGCTTTCAAACAATAGATCTTAAAACCCGAAGGGGTTAGGATGTGGTGAAGTGCTCACACTCTTCCTCAGCAGAGTTCTGAAGTGTTTCTTTAATCCAGTCCGTCAGAGGCGCCAGCGTACCTGATCGATCTGATGCATGACAAGAATGCAGAAATCAGAAAAGTGTGTGACAACACCCTGGACATCATCGCTGTACGTACAGTACCTAAGGCAACACGTACCTGGTTGCGTGCATCGTAGTCCACAGGCCACGCACTTATTTGAACATTTCTTTTTAATCTTTAGGAAAACGATGAGGAGTGGGGGAGGAGGATCCAGTCCGAGAAATTTCGCTTTCACAACAACCAGTGGCTGGAGATGGTGGAAAGTCGTCAGGCTGATGAGACGGAAACATATCTGTACGACAATGACAATGAAAGAGCTGATCTGTTCTACAGTGCAGGTACTCAAAACACAAACACAAACACAAAACAAGTGTGAAGGAATCTGAAGAACGAAGTACATGTTTAATCTACTGCATGGTCTGTGGTGTTGAAAGGGTGTTAAAATAAGGCTCATTATATTATTGATTGTTTGATTAAAACTCTTCTCACCAATGGCATGGACGTCTGTCCACCGGTGTCTGTTACTGTAGAAATCTTCAACAGCCTGTGGTGTGTTTGTCTACAGACGGAATAACTCCAGGAGATGGTTCCATCAGCCCAGACTTCTTCGGTGATCTGCAGGCACAGAATGGAGACTCGTTCCACTCAGAGTGAGTTTGCATAATCCTCAAATCTTCAGTTGAAAAGATACTCATCATAGGAAGATATAATTCTCTTACTTCACATTCAGAGCTCCACCTCATTATTAAGTGACAGCCTGGCTTTGTTCTGCAGAGACAACAGGGACGTGTTTGACCTGACCACCACGTCATCAGGACGACCAGTCACTGCCTACGGCTTCAGACCTGATGAACAGCCTCTCTATCAGTTCACATAGACACAGATAGACGTGTCTGGTTTGTTGGACACTTCACTTCCTGTCATCTTAGGCTCGTTTCCTTCCTGAATTCAGCATATACAACATTCACCACAGGTAAACAAATACATCACGTCCAATGCTCCAACCCTTTTGGTCTGGAATCTTAAGAACTTTTAATGTTTCCTTTCGAGTATTTTTCTGTAAATAAACAGCCAACAGTGTAGTGTGTTTTCAGGAATGTCTGTTTTGTGATGTAAGAACTTCATGTTACATTTAGCCATATTTATATTATCATGAAAAAGAATATACTGAAACATGTTTCGCATAGCTGATGCAGTATTTATTTTGGTGAACACTGTAAAAGGAAAACAAAAATCCTTAATAGGGTCATTATAAATGAGCAGGACATCGCAGGGCGCCCCCTTGTGGCACATAAACAATGATTATTGGGGCTTGTGAATTAGAGATGACACGTGAAAAAAACAATAATTGTGATGATGGAAAGCAATCAGATTGAACTGAAATGAACAAAGTAAGTTTAAAGGAATGTAAAAGATATTGTGCTGTTAAAATTTGCACCTAAAAGATGTCCAGATGCCAGTAGCAATGTTTTATTTTATTCTTATTTTACCTGTAGTTATTGTAAATCTTCAGTATGTACATTATGTCTTTTTATAATTCTTATTCTGTGACTCAACCTGACACTAACAAAAGCAAGTGCTTGACAATGAAAGCTCACTACTTAATAAAAACCTCCAAGACAGATACGTTTTTGTTTTGATGGGTTTTTTTTTCATGGTGATTTAAATAAGGGAATTCTTCAACAAATATTAAAAATATCGTTGTCACAAATATTGAACAATTAGTAATAGTATAGTTAACTGTATGTGACAAAAATCAATTACAGTTACAGTTTAGTTTTTATTATTATTTTTACAAGTGACAACATTCTCAAAAGAGACATTAAGATAACGTCCACACTTTTGGTGAATTTTATTAATTTAATTAAAACAACCAACAAAGCAGTATAATATTTATTAGACTGTTTAATTTTGATGTGTGCAGAAAAAGGGACTAAAATAGGAGCTCTGGACTTATACAAACCATTTTCAAGAAGAAAGTTTCAGACAATTAAACATGTTATTAATTTGATTTTAAAAATATAAAGCAGTAGTTTTTAAACAGTTCCAGTTACTGTCTGATCAGTCAGTGTTTTTACTGCGCAGGTGTTTTGTTAATGTCAGGGTGAGGGTGTGTTGCTGCTGTCAGGACACGGCGTCACGTCTATCTCCACCTCTGTGACCTCCGTCACCAGCTCTCTGATGATGGCCACACTGTCCTGTGATGGTTGAGGAGAATATTCCGCCTGTGATTCCACAGGCTCTGGAGTCTGAAGGAGCTTCTCCTCCTCTTCCTCGTTCCCAGTGTGACAGCCTTCATTTTTAATATTTTCTTCATCTTCTGTTTGTTTCTCGTTCTCACTGGCTTCCTGTTCATCATCCTTTCTCTCTCCTGACTCAGCCGTTGTTTCAGCCTCTGCCTGTTTCTCTTCTTTAAGCCTCTCCAGGTCCCAGCTCTCCTTGATTTGTCCCGTCAGGTAGACAGCTCTGTCCGCCATCCCGTGTGCTGTCATTTCTGTCACAGAATCTTCAGTGCCATTACAGACAATGGCTCTGTTCAATGACTCCAGGCTGATTTTTGTTGGACTGTCAGGTGGTGGGTGTGTAGGGACTGGATGTGAGGACTGGTCACCACCTGTGTCCTCTGATGCATGATCTGAGGCAGAGGTTTGAGCTCTTTGAGACACTTCACTTGAAGCATCATTGGACAACAGTGAGAGTAGAGAGGACAACGAAGGCTCGGAGGAGTCTGGGCAAGAATGAACAGATTCTCGGGCAGGTAAGAGCTCAGGTGTTGCAGAGTCAGCGGAGTCTGTTGTTGATGGTGCGTCGCTTTCAATGTGACCATTTTTCTGAATTGTATTGGAGTGAGAATCTTCCTCATTTGTAGGTTCGTCCAAGTCCTTTGTCACAATTGTTACAGTGGGTAAAACCACCATGTTGTGGTCCGAACTTTGAGCAGGACTAAGATCAGACTTGGGTTCAGGGTGAAGTTGTGGGTCAGATTGAGGGAGTGGCCCCTCCTCTTTTACAGCAGCAGATGGTCCATCTGCAGTGACCTCAGCTGGGGTGTGACTGACTTGGCCATCTGTTGTCGGACACAGAGATGCCTGTCCTAAAAGACTGTACTGACTGAAGGCCAAATCAGAGATGTCCACTAATGGATTTTTGCTTTTCTTGGTCATGGCCTCCTGAACCACTGATTGGAAGGAAGGTGAGAGATATTACAAAATGTGCTTTTATTATTAAGATATAGAATTAGACTATTATTTTACCTATAAAGATAATCATATTGGTAGACACCAGTAGATGCTTTTTTTAAAGAGCACTGGGGTTTTTTCCCCAGAAACTAAACATGTCCAACCACACACACACATACATTTGTTCATGCATTAAAGACTTGGGTTTTCACACTGAAAAGATTCATTATGAGGAGATTCACCTGCTTCTATCTGTGCGCTCAGAATGCTCCTCAACACGTTGTCATAGACATTACGAACAAGGATGAAAGAGCTGTAGTCTGAGAAAATGTACTGCTCAAACTGCTGCAGATCCTGCACAAGTGAATGACAGGTTAAAACCAATATACTGGAATGGGAAGTCCTGGTGAGGGGGAGTCAAACGGATTGTTCCACCTACCGTTCTCCACTTGTTGTCCATCCTCTTGATCACAACAGGCAGAGTAATCTCTAGCAGAGCATCGTGGTAGAACTTCTTCTGGACAACTTTGCTGTCATAGTCCAACTGCTGCTCACACATGTCAGAGCAGTGTTTGAATGGGACAGTGACACTTTAAATATATTTATATTTCCATTTTGAATGATAAACTACAGTATATTAATATAGTAAACAAGCATTTACTACAGCCAAATATATGGATCAAAACTAACTTCTTTTTTTACCTTGAGAACCCTTTTTGTTGCTCTTTCCGTCTTGACCAGAATTTCAGAGGACTGCATTCTGGCAGATTGCAGAAACAGCTCTAAAGTGTACACGGCCCTGTCGAGCAGCTGAGGGACACAGACAGACACAGACACAGGGACACAGACATTTGTCTGTTTAAATAATGAAATAGCAGCACGATGTTCATAGATGACAAATTAGAATAAAGTGAAAAAGTAAAACAAAATTAGCGTAACATCAGGCAGCAACAACAAGCTCTCAATAAAAAAAAAAATTTTCATCATTGAATCTCACTGATGATTACAATGAGAAGCTAAACATAGAAATCTGTCAAATCACTGCATTAAAGGAAATGATACTAAACTCCTTAGCCACAGAACTGTAGCCAGCGTCGGGCAAAAAAGGAAGTAGAATCATGTGAGGCTGTTCTTTTATTCCTGTAAGCAACAGAGAACTATAAAGAGAGTTTTGTAAAATGTAACAGCTTGGAAAGATTAGATAATTAACTAAAGACGGATGGACTGGAATATATTAGAAGAGTTACCTGAAACTTGTTTACAACATACTAAATAACTACAGGCTGTAATTCAGTAAAAGCAGGTGTACAGTCGACACGTGAGATCAACTTCATCTGTGCTCTTTACTCTCCCCCTCTTTCACATGACAGACATAACTCTAACTAACAGCAGCAGCAGCAGCAGCAACTGTTCTTACCCGCTCCATCTCCAGAAGTGCAGAGTGGACCAGTCTCTGGACGCTGCTCAGTCCAAACCTTTGTTTCAAATCAACAAGAAGCTCTGTCAGGTTCTTCACCTTTTCGTAGCACTGCTCCAGACTGATAGAGCGCAGTGAAAACAAGGTCTAAATAACACAGGCACACGTGAATGCATTAACACAAACACATAAACTAGAATGGAAAAGACAAATCCACAAATGACAAAGCTTAACTAGCTCAGTCCGTACTACTCTTCACCTTGTTATGTTCACCTGAAATCATCCTAACAAAATTAAAAACAGTCTCTCTTGCCTCCTTTGTCTCCTCCGTTCCTCCTCCATTCTTGTGTGTGAAGGCTGAGTCGATCTGTGTGTGCAGTGTCTGCTGCATCTCTTCGATGCCTGCACTTGTGTTTTCTGCCAGCACTTCAATGATGGACAACAAGTAGGGAGCCACACACTCAGTGTGCACCGTCTCTGCTTCTTCACGTACACACACTGGAGAAAAAACTCACAGGTTATCAAGTCGTTGACTGTTATCAAGAAGTTGAGGCTCCGAGCTCCAAAGATGAGATGGTATTGAAGGTAACTGGTTCTTTTTATTATGTGTTTTAATTATTTGACAGCAGCTGAAGCCCAGAGAGCTCTACCTCTGATTTTCTCCTCCAGGAAGGACAGAGAGGATGTTATCTGGTCCAGATCAGCTCTGATCAGTGTCTGACTGGCAAATGCTGCATGATGACACTTCACCTTTAGAGCCTCCAACCCTGCTGTGATCAGTGGGAACACCACCACGTGAGTGGCATGTACTGTCTGAAGACAAGAGAGCAGAAGAAGGAATGATCTTAGACAATCACAGTCACTTGCAGGATGTGAGATTTTTTTTTTTGCTACTAAAACACCTGGGTCTTTAAAGTATGTTGACTGTTTTTGTTTACATGCACCAGTTCAACTTACAGCCAACCACAGACGAATCCTCTCAGTCTTCTTTCCTTTCAGTTTGGACTGCAGCTGACTTTGTAACCATGGCAACACTTCCTCCATCATCTGATTGGTCAGAACCTACCCATGCAGGAACACAGTTCACAGATTTGAATCGCAGAACAGTATTGTTTACAATAACAGCACAAAAGAGACGTATGCGATCAATCAACACTATCCATGAATGAAAAAGTTCAGCATCACTGACGTGCTCTTCTGCGCCCAACAGCATTTCCCATGATTCATAGCATCCTCTGTCTTGGCGATAGAGCTGTAGCGCTCTGATGAATGCTTGGTTCTCATAGGACGACTCAGACCATGGTTCTGTGGGACATAAGGACAGATTTGATGGAAATCAGGGTCTCATTTTTTTATGCATTTGAACCATATGATCCAGTGCATCGTGAAAAAAACAAGGTTAAATAAAAAGATGATCCACATACTGACACACAGTAGGTACAGATGCTGACAAAACACCTCCAATGTATCTGAGAAAAACAAACTCTAAACTTTGAACACAGGAGAGAATTATCTTCTTTGACTGGATGTTATGAAATGTTACATTTTGATGTTTTTTCTCCCCTTTTGCTTCATATTTGTGTGTTCCACTTTTATTTAAACTGGTTTGAGGAACAGAAAGTCCATGTTATGCTGAACACACTTCCCTCTATTATCATCACCATCCGTTACAAAATAAAATCACCCACAGATGCAGCTAGAAAATCTCACTACGTAGGCACATCTTCCTTCCTCAGTGATGTCATGACAAGAGAGAGTGTTGTAATACGACCTAAAACTGCCAGTACAAAAGCCCACAGTCATCTTATCCCTGACTTTAACCACATCTACAAATACTCTACACCTGCAGGGACACTGATTGGAAGTGGTTCAGAAATATTTGGCAGATATTCATGCCTCTTGTAAAGTATTTTTTTGTGCTCTACTAATACAAGAAGAACTCAAAATAACGATAAGCTTGAAGTGACACGTCATTGCGGTGAGAAAAAAAAACAGGTTTTGGCATGTTTTTTCTTACTGGTGTTGCAACTGTGCAGATGTGTCAGACCATGATTTCCTATTGTTATGAGCTTCAAGTTAAGGAGTTATTTTCGTTTGTACTGCAACTAACCACACAGGAAGTTACTATCATTTCTGTTTATATCTGACAACAAGGCAACCATCACCACAAATGCCAAGTAGATGCGGCAGCAGGTGTCTAGAACTAGCCTTAACTGAATTGTTAAAAGCACAGAGTTACTGTTCTCCAAAAGAACACCAGCCAGAGACAGGATGCTCAGTAATGACTGGTGGTATGAAGAAAATGGTGTTATACTTTTGCATATTTTTCTTGAAATTTCACCCTCTTAAATTCAATGTCCATCCAGCAATATTCCATTTCTTTTTCATTTAAAAAATGTGAGCTGCCCTTAAGGTGACTAGAAATGTGTAAAGCAAAAAACAGTAGTTTTAAAAAAGTGAGTACTCCCGCTTTAGAGTGTTTGTTTTTTAGTTTTTAATAATTACTTCCTCATTTTTTTCTACCTTACATATCCTGATGCATTGTAACAGATCACGTCACTGTAACGCAACATAAGCAGTAAAACACTGCTACGCTACGTTGGGAATTTCTTCAGTAGGAACAGGCTCAGAGTGAATCGAAATGACAAGCTTCGTGGTGAATAATGATGTGTATGTTTTACCTAGGTTACAGTGTCTGATGCAGGACTCCAGTGCAGACAGGAAATTATCTCGCTCCTCTTTTAATTTGAAGAGGAAGCAGGTGTAGCCGGTGTAAGGCAGGTGCAGATACACAGCAGGCAGGTCTGGAGAGGACACCACTGAAGAAGAATCCTCTTTGACTCCTAAATTGACACCAAGCAAACAGAGTTTAAAAAAATTACACCTCATTTTCAGTGTGTTTTCAATTTTAATTTGCCGTATCACTAAAGGTATTATGTTTTCAGCAAAATGTTGGTATAGATACTACCATAAAAATAAGTCACCTATACCATTAAGTAATCCAGCACAAGTTTTTTCCAAGTGAGCTCTGGACTCCTCTTCTGAGATGAACACAGTGCCTCCAACTGGATGGATGACCAGCTTAGCTGAAGAGCCGTGATTAAAAGTCTACAGGTAGAGAAACAGACAACAGGAACCCAGCATGAAGCTGTGAAATGTGTCAGAGTTCAGTGAGCGTTTTAGACCCTTAGACTCTGAGGTTAGATATCTGTCGGATCAATTGAGATAACCATAATTATAACGTTTATTTACACTTAAATATGCCCTTAGTGTCTGCCTGACTAACTATGTCTCCAGCTGTAACAACAATGATCCTTGTAATCACACTTGGAACTATGAATGATGGTGAAGTTAGAGACTCTGTCTAGACTGAAGGCTGAGACTTCTGTCTACCAAACACTGTAGTGGGATGAATTTGGCTCCATATGTTTGTTTTCAAGGTTGCTTTAAGAACGTACCTAATAAAATAAAAAGAGAAGCAAAAGATGTTGTAATGACAGGCCGTGTTAGGAAATTTGGCAGCCCTCTTTTGTGTGTTTCTTTTTTTTTTTTTTACATGAATTGGTGAAAATATTTTTCCGTGGAAAGTTGAGCCATTAAAGGGTAGTAATGCAAATCAACTAATGTAAGCATAATGCAGCCACCAAAACCCAGAGAAGATAAAACAGGATAGGATATAAAAGCTTTGTCACTACTTGAAGTAGTTGGCGTTTAGGTTTAGGACTGAAATAACTGTGATTAGGGAAAACAAAATACAGAACTTTAACATCAGGCACATTGTGTGATACCTCCATGCTTTCATGAATCTCTACTCTGTAGTCTCTTTTCAGGACGATGTACCTCCCTCGGGACTTCTTTCCCTGCTCATACCAGCAGGAGAACTTGACATTGGATTGGTGCAGCACTTCATCAGGAGCATACTGAGGCTGTACAGTATAAACACAAACACACACATTATCGGGAAAGATATAAGACAGTGACATGGAGAAAAGAACAGGAAATATACTGGTGTCACTGGTTGGACTGAATGACAGTTAAATAAAACACTCACCCTCTGTTTGAGCAATAGTCCACGTCCCTCTTTCTTAGGCTCCACCTCCTGGTGTATGTGTCCGAAGTAGGCTGCAGAGTACTGCTTCTCATAAAAGTCACCAAAGTTCTTTAACATACCTTCAACAAGTCCTGGAATCACACAGACGGAAAACTATGTGTCAGCCTAAATAAAATGTAAACTGTTGAGAATCACAGTATTATCAGAAACGTATTCTGAATTGGACAGATCCTTTCACTTTAAGTCATTAGCAAAGGTTTAAGCTTAATTGGTAATTGGAGCACTAATCACTTTCTAGACAATAAAGTCTTCAAACTTTGATGATATTTTCTGCATATATCTCCAGTACACAAAACAGAGCATGGTCACTGATGGTGATACAGTTGATTAAATAATCGTTGTTTGGAGGTGAGTATTCAAAGGATCATTTCACTCTGTCCTTATACACTGCTAAATCATAAATCAGTACATTTATGTTCATAGTGTGGTCCTTATATTCTCTATCAGATGACCGTGACAGACTGTTCATGATTGTATGTTAAAATCATTTGTTGACAGAGCATCATGGCCACCATCACTATTTGATTTTGATTTCACTGTGTATCTTGTATCTTTCATCTTTAAACATCTTTAAACACACACACACACACAGAGTGAAGGACGCAGCGAGAGACAGAGAGAGAGAGGGCGAGACCCTGTGAGACGGTGAGAGAGATAAGACAACGCATAGTAACGTAATAGTTGGAAATGGCTGCAATTACAGAGAAGATTAGTGACAGGAAGTGTCCGTGCTGATAACATGTATGGGAATGCTCACATACATAGGAGTAATGTCACCAACATGTGTTTTTTAGTCCAACCTCCTCAGAACACAAGACAAAAGAACTTTTAATTTTTTTAAATTTCCAATATTACACAAAAAACAAAGAATAAAAAAAAACTCTTCACTAGACAGTTTAAATATACTGATTTTTTTTGCATGTGTTCTATTTAACTAATGATAAAGTTAAAAAAAAACAATATAAATAACTTGACCTTAAACAAGCATTTAAACCTATACATAAAAATTTGCAATCACCCCCAAATGGAGAAAGACCACCAGTTAATACCACAGGAATGGTAGTTATGGCTATATACTATGAGTCATAGTGAAATTACATCACTGATGTCAAATTTACATTCTTTAAAAAAAAGTTTAGGTTTATTTATGACAATATATGAAAATAAAATAGTTTTAAATGCGTTTCACAATATTTAGTTACCACATACTAAAAAGAATGACTTTTTAGTATGTGGTTCAATCACATTTTCCTCACACACCTCTTTCCTTCTTCATTTATTACTTGATATTGCTGTTATTTCTTAATTCTTTGAATATGAATTAAATAAAAATTAAGTTACAGTCTAGTTTTTTGAAAGAACGTTTACACGTTTACCTTTAACCGCGCTCATTTTAGCTTCATCCAACAAACCAGAAGAAGATGCTCCCATGGTGCCTCTGTTCCTGTCTTCTGTGGTGTCTGTATGTCAGGTTAATTCCGTTGTTTTACACACTGGAAACTGCGGGTGATGGACGACAAGTTAAGATGAGCTGTCTTACAAGTGTCCGCTCAGTGAATCACTTGGTGGTGTGTTTGGGCGGGGCCGTTGAACCATAGGTAAATGTGTTACAGCTGCAGTCATCAGACAGTGCACTCACAGAGCCACCTGCTGGTGAAACCTGGGATGGTGCTTCGTTCTGAGTGTATTGCTTTAAAACTAAGGAGCACATTAGCATTATTTAGAAACGTGTACTTTTACTTATGAAAACAAATATGTTGTGTGAGTGTTTGAATTACCAGAATGCAGAAAGCAAACTGGAATACTGATTTCTATACCTCTTTACAGGCCTTTTTAATTTCCCCAAACGTTCCGACTTTCAAATAAGTCATTTCCGGTCTTCTGTAGGAACATCTAACTCAAAACAGGAAGTCCAGAAATTAGTTTTACTCTTAATTTAAAGTTACTGATACATATTCCATTGGAACCAAAATCAACATTGTACTCAAGCAGTTTGATATTGGATATTGGATATAAAAGATCGGTAAAATTGTCTCTACTTTGCAAAGTTGCATACTTTATATCGCCTCTCTTTCGTATGAGCGCCCTCGTGTGGTACGCCATGGCTCTACAAACGCGCACTTGCTTGATAGCGAGATTCCATAATATTCGATACAATTTATGGGCTTCAGAAACCCTCACATTACTTCGTTTTTGTAATGTACCTGTATAATTACAGGCATTCATTTGTTTTAATAATAAAATAAAAATAAAATAAAATAAAATAAAAGCTTTGAAATAGCGAATGGGACCACAAAGACAGTATCAACAACTGAAGTACTGACATAATTACAGGCATCCATTTGTTTTATTGTAATCACAAAATAAAAGCTTTCTGAATCTCAACTAATTCTCCTGTCTAACAGACAGTGTACACTCTCCAAACAATAGGCCATTGAAGGCGGCTAAAATCCTGGTGCTTTTGTTACCATTTTACATGGATTATAATAAGTTTACAGACAATGTAGTTAAAAGTGATAGAGATGACTATGTTAATGATATTCTGTGACACAAATTTTTAAAGATTTATTACATACTCGACTTTTAATACTGAAGTTTGCTGCTAGAATTAAGTTAATTTTTGAAAAATACGCTGAGAACTTTTATTTTGAAATCATCGCTAATCAGTTATTCTTTTACCGTAATACGTAGTGTATGCGTAACTATACAACGTGGGGCAGCTGGACTGCGCTGCCACAGTCGGGAGATTACAGTTTCGGATGAGTCTGTGCTGCTGTCCGGATCTATTCACTATGCTACTGCAAATTTTACCTCAGGTACATTTTATCCTAGTGTAGTTACAAGTTTAAGAGCGCTGGCTCGTTCTCAAAGAAGTTTTTTTTTGCAGAAGCTGTTTGCAAGTTTGGTGATTGAGTAACACTGAGTAACTGGAACTACTCTGGTGCACGGGTCTGATTTCTCATTTCTCTGCACACTGTTGTTACTCAGTGGAGTTGTTAACGGTGCAGGTGTCGAGATGTGGTGTGGTCCGTCACTGTTGTTGCTCCTCTGCTGTACATTGTATGGAACTGATGCTCAACACGAGCCGAACACAAGCGAAGCGCCCCGGCGAGACCGAACGCCGACAGTCACTGAAGCTGCAGCTGCAGCTGCCGGAGCGCCCCGGGTCACTGCCTCCTCTCCCTCCTCTTCTTCCTTCTCTCCCTCCTTCTCCACCGCCAAAGTGCCGACGGACAGTGGACAGACTCAGGAGCCGTCCACTGCAGAACCTCTGGAGGATGAGCTAAGTAATCAGGAGAACGTCATTAGTCAGGTCAGTATGATGTGATGTGAAGAACATTAACATTCACAGCCTCTGGATGGAGGCGTTTTCCACAGGAATGTATTAATACTGTAGACTAGACGTCCCCTAACTTATTCTGCAGCGCCCCCCTTTGTAGAAAAGTATACAGCGCCCCCGTGTTGGGAACCACAGGTTTAGACTGACGTGGGCCAGGACAAAACACACATCAACATTTATATATGTATTTATATATATAAAACTTGTGCAAAACATTAAATTTTGCACAATTAAATTACCATAAATAGTAAGGGGGGGGGGGGCGCCTATCCCTTGAGGGCACGTTGATGTACTGCAGTCATTAAATGTTTTGCTTAAGTTTTTTTTCCAGAGGTATGACTTGTAGTGTTTATGTTTACAAATAGCTGTAGGACCCTACTCACTTTAATATGTTTAAAATAAAAACATCACCTGTGCATTATGGCAGCCGGTTGGTAAGGAATGCAAATAACAGGGTTAAGTCAAATTAGACCAAACACTGCTGAGCAAGCACTTTGACAACAATGGGGAGGGATGAACAGACAGGGAATGTCTCAACCTTCATTTGATTCCCATGTGTATGCTTCAGGAACAGACACTCTTGCAGGGACAAATGTGTGACCCCAGAATGCCTTGTTGTTGCTGAGAATGATGTGAAACTTTATATTTCCAGACCTTCCGTCTAATTTTCCCAGTCTTTGTACGTGGGATCTTATTTGATCTCAAGTCTACTGTGTCAGGTCAGGTCTGCGTGGTTAGACTAGTTCAAGCAAGAAGTATTCCACCCACTTCATTAAGCAAAAAAAAAAAAAACCTTGCAAATACACAGTGCTTGTTCTCCTTGAGTCATAAAGTTTGATTTTTCAAATTGCCATATAAAAAGTCATTGTTTTGTGTGGATGAAAATGTTTTACCTTCCCTGTAATTTAATCACAGGCTTGAGTCCACAGTTTGTCAGTTCAGCTTAAATGGTGTGGTAAATCAGACCCAGAGTTTGTGTGTGCCTGCGGCTGTGTGTGTGTGCATGTGTGTGTGTGCACCATGGTAACTGCTCGCATCCCTCTGGTGGTTGGTTATGTAATTCCTTCCAAACTGAAAGCTGTCCAAACCAAAAAGTGCATGTTTGTCAAAGCCTGTATCTTTTTCTTCTTCCCAGACGGCTCGCTGCTGCCGCAACTGCAAGTCATCACTCAGCCTGTCGCCCTTAGGTTCACTTTGCTTTCATGTTTTCATGACTAATATGCCTCGTAAAAAAAGATGGTAGAAAACTATTACACTTCCACAAAGTACACCAACACACCTACTCAATCACATCCATGTAATTTTTTAAACAATTTTCTCATTTTAAGCGATTGATCTGGGTTTTTTTATGGATTTGTTCAATTTTGTTATTATTGTGTAACAGTTTGACTCCAGTCCAACGCCTAGTCAAAGGAATTCTTTCTTTCTGCATTGTCCATCTATAAAAGGAACAATGTGCTCCACTCTGAGCTAATGTTGGAGTGGGTGAAGTTTTGGTGTTTGTTCAACACACCACACTGAAGGGCTGCCCTCTAGTTGAAATCAAGTCCTTGGGTTTTGATCCAGAGCAGCCACTGCTGCTTTTTATGAAAAAAAAATTCTTGCATTATCACATTTATCAGGTTACTACAGACAATAAGACATGAACTCTCCCTGTCTCTGTTCTAGTTGCTGGGTGACTACGACAAAGTCAAAACCATTTCGTCAGGATCGGACTGCGTGTGTAGATGCGTCGTTCGACCGATCAAGCGCTCGGACTGCAGTGACCCAGCAGCGATGTCACGGGCTGCTTACACCGTGGACACGATTACCAAAGGAACGGACTGTAAACGGTGCGTGTGCATGGCTCCACCGTCAGCGGTCAACCCCTGTGAGGGAGAGTACAGGTTCAAAAAGCTGCAGGAGGCCAGCAAGGACGACATCAAGGTAGAGACGCACGTCTGCACGGTGTCTGAGGGAATACATACATAAAAACAACATCAATTTCTAGCTGTTATTTAAAATTAAATAATTTGGTCTTGAATCAGTTTTCTGTCTTAATTTGGTTTCCAACCCAAGTAAAAGTAAAACATGTTGCTTGGTGCTGGAAAATGTGTTTATATAAATGATTGAAATTGACTGAAAAACCCTACAGTTCTGCTAAAAACAAATGTGTCTGTTGGCCTTGTGTGTGAAGCTTGCGACCATCATCGACTTGTTGGAAGGCTCTTTGTATGGAATGGACCTGTTAAAGCTCCAGTCTGTCACAACTAAACTGCTGAACAGGATGGATGACTTGGAAACAGTGAGGATGCACGGCACACACACACACACACCCGCACACACACACACACTGCAGACACTGGTTTTATGTGTTCTGTGAGCACTTTACATAGACTTAATGCATCCCCAGCTCCTTCCACTAACATCGGGCACTAAAATGTTCCATTGATCTTAATCCTTACCTTGAACTAATCCCATTCTAAATCTTGAAGCTCAAAATGCAAAACAACCCAAGAATAATAGCATTTTAAATAAATACATTTGAACTATATTGATCCCATATTTGGGGAATTCTTGTGTTACCAGGGTGGAGCTTTGGCCCAGAGGCACAGGCTCTGTCATTGGTGTGGAACCCCAGGGTTCACCTCCTGGGCAAGTTCAAATCCCGGTTAGGGCGGTTGGTACCTTTCAGTGGACTCACCACCCACAGGAAGGTTCAGGGGGGTTGGTACGGTGCAGTGTGATTTGGGTGATAGTGTGATAACGGATAAGGGGCTGAAAATGGATGGATGGATGGATTGTGTTAACAGCTTATGTGCTGTTAAAATTCAAATTAATTTTTAAATTCCAATAAACCTATGTTGTTTATTCTAAAAAGAAAAATAGTGCTACCAAAAACAAAACAAAAATAAAAAATTAAAGTCTGAAATTAAAAAAAAAAAAAATAACCATTTGAAAACAATAGCTGAAAAGTGTAGATTCCATTTGTGATGCCAGTGTGGCTGTGCTCCATTGACCCTATTATTTGACTAAATTTGTTTATTTCATTTCAGTTTGCGAGGACAGAAAAGAAGATGAACTCCTTCATTAAAGCCTACTGTGTTCTGTTTTAATTTCAGATTATTATCCTGAGTAAAAAAAAATATATTGTTTTAAAAAGTGAGACTGTCTCCATCAACTGAAACAGTGCAATTAGTGTTTAGCCAAAATTCCTGTTTCCCTTCTCCTTCCTCCTCCAGTTTCCTTTTCTCCATCTGCAGCTGGCTCAC